TGCCCTGGTCTCCAGGAGAGAGACTTAGGAGGAGGTGGGAAACCAGAGGAGAATTAATGCTTGGGGCAAGTCAGACTGCTGTATTTGGCTTGTTGTCGGTCCCCAGGTTTGGCAAAGGGATCCCTCAATTCAAAAGAAATAGAAAAGCTGTCCCAGAACTGCCAGGATTAGGGAATTTTGTCTGTCTGTACTCCATATTCAGCACTGCTGAACATCCCCATCACTGTCATTAGCACTAACCCCTGCACTGACAGACCTGGCAGGTCTCATGTATTGAGTGTGGGCCTTCCTTCCCTGGCCCCCTCCCTCTGGCACAGCAGTGACACAGTACCTGCACATTTCTCCTGCCTTGGGAAGTTTTTAGCTGTCTGACCTGCTGGTCACTTATGTGTGACTTCTTGGAGCTGGAGGGAAGCACCAGTGATTTGCAGCAATGGTGGAAAACCCCCCCAAACCAGAGCCTACCTCTGCGCTGCAACTCCTTGTGTCTCTCCATGGTGGGATCCAGCACACACAGAGTCATCTGGTTCCCTGCTCTATTCTGCTGCAAGCAAGTCCCATGTCATCCCAGAAACTGCCCGTGAGATCATCTATGAAATATTTATTCCTGTTGCATGCAAGAGAAAAGGAAGCAAAAAGCCTGCATAATATTGATGGAATCCCTGATAGCCAAATATTGAATTATTTACAGCCTAATTGTGCAAGTGATACTCAGGAGATCGCTTAGGCTGCAAGATGCAATTAATACATTTTGCGAAATTGGTGACTTCTACTTCAGACTTTTTGATGCATCACTGAGTCCCTAAAACACAAGTGACATGACTTTGCAGGAAAAGAACACCTGAAATACCCACAGGCTTTTCTCTGAGCACTGCTGTGAAATAGGAAAGGGCTCTCAAAGCACCTGTGAGCTGCCTGAAGGCACATGTCTGGAGCTGATTCCGATGCTCAGGTGAATCTGGCTTGGCTCATGGCTGTTGCTTCAGAAGGGCACTGATCTCCTATAATTCTTGTGTTACAGCTGAAACTCCCAGGCAAATGCCCTGGATACTCTCAGATGGCATTAAATACACATATGCAAGACACAGAATTTAGCCTATGTGACCACTGTCCCCAGCAGACCTTCCAATGACTAAGCAGTGACTAAGAATGGCAACACTCTCTGTGCTGCAGCATCCTTCCCCCCCTTTCACTGTCATGTTTGCTGCGTAGCCCTAATGCAGTCCTCAGTGCATGCACTAAGAGTCCTCCTTTCTGCCCAGCCTACAGCAGATAGACTGGCCACTGAACCCCAGCTCACAGAAGGTGGATTTTCAGGCACAGAGCTCTTCTGTCCATTCCAAAGAACACAGGTGGTCACAGGGCCTTGGCTATTTCTCTAACACCAAACTTCTCTCAAGCCCTCCCTCTCCCTCCTTAGGAAATAAGTATCTGAATCCTGACATCTGGAGTAAACCACAAATTGTGTCTCTTAAAACTCTCTAATCTTCTGTATTCTGCTTTATATTCTACTCTTAGCAGAGCTTTGGGGGGATAGCCTCCTTACCAAGCGCTTCAGCAGCATTTAGGACCATCCCTTGAAATCACTGGAGCTGAATAAGGCTGTGGGCAGTCTGTTTTGCCCTGAGGATGGTAACAAGCTGAAAGAAAGTCTGAACTAGCATTACAGTGCTGTCCTCTCCGTGCTTAATAATGCTCATTTCCTCTTGAGACGAGACACACCATGTATGTCTAAAGCCCTCAGCCTGTCCTAATTTGCAAACTCTAGTACAGCTGTAGGTTAAAAGAGCCAGCCAAAATTAATCATGACAGATTAAGGAACCGAGCAACATAAGGCAATGGCCTCTTGTTAAACTGAAACATCTGATCCAAGCCAAGCAATTTCAGCCCCCCTGTTAAACTCTTGCTTCTCTTGTCCACCATCTACAGTGTTTTGCTACTGAGCACCACCATCTGAAGATGGTTTACTCAGATGTACCCAGGCTATCACTGAGCAGCTTTGCCAGTGACAGCACTGGGCTGGGCTGAGACAGCCAAAAAAGCAGGTTTGTAGGTGGCTGCCACCTGCAGGCCTGCTCAGGTGTGTGTGTGGGGCGTTGTTTGTTTTTGCTGTTATCAGGCTTTTGTGCCATTTAGAGTTGGCAGGCAGAGGAATAATTAAACTCTGCTCATGCCAGAGGAAAATTTATTTATTTTAAGCAGGTACATTTTCTTCTCTTCTTTTCCACCCCTCTTTTCCTTAAACACAAGACAAAGGTAGCCAGACAAGCAGATGGACTTTGCTTATACAATAAATGTCACGCACCTCAAAAGCTGGTAAAAAAACCAAGCTAGTGGCAGAAGGCCCTGAGGGAGGAAACAGCAACATGATTTACTTGAAGGCAGTGGTACAGCTGTGATGTGATCCCAGACTGGGAAGGTGATGACACCTTTGCAAAGCCAAAACTTACGTAGCTTAATATTTTTTGTTGTTTTTCTACAAATATTATTCAATGTCTCAAATGGAAGAAGGAGGTTATTTGGTTATTAAATGCCAATAAATCTGCAAAGTTTTACCCCTCTTTTCATAGAATCAAAGAATCAGATTGGTTGGAAAGAACCTCTGAGATCATCAAGTCCAACCCTTGATCCACTACCACCACGGTTACTAGACTATGGCACTAAGTGCCCCATCCAGTCTCTTCTTAAATACCTCAGGGACAGAGAATCCACCACCTCCCTGGGCAGCCCATTCCAATGCCTGATTTTCATTTTGTTTGAAAGTGTATCCTGAAAACAAGGCAAGGCCACGGCCGGCTCCACCTTGTCATTTCCTGTTTGACAGAAGAGGAACCAGATTGCTCTGAGACAAGGGAATGCAGACTTACCCAGGGGCTGAAGATGACATTAGGTCACTTGGACCATCAGGTCCTTGGAAATGAGCCCCATGTGCACTCTCACGGGATCCTTCTCCAGACTCTAACTACAGCAAAAATGTTGCTATCCACTAGATGCTCCATAGAAAAATATAAGTTACCCGCCAGCACAGTTGGTGCTCTCTGGAGTATAAATGCCACCAGTGTCTCACCACCCAGGTCTCGAGGTGCTGTGCACAGGAGATAAGGTGCTCTTGGATTCCTAACAGCCCTGAACATGAAAGGGTGCATTAGGTGGCAGTAGGCTTTGTATACCTTGCTATTTTCAGCTCCCTAGGACTGTCAGAGATGCAATCCCTGCTGGAAAACACTCCCCACTATAAACAAGCTGATGAACACAGAAGAAAATGGGCATGCCTTCCCTATTTGCCACTATTCCATATTCAGCTGTTAATCTGCTCCTTTCTCCTCCTCCTCTCCTCTGTTATTCTGCAATAGCTTTTAGTTGCTAAAGAAAATGAAGAAACAATTAAGAAGCTTCAGAAAAAGCAGATAATTTCTCACACGCAGGGCTGAGTACGCAGCAGATGTGACTCAAGAGACACACATGCTGTTTTCAGGCAAGTACTCCCAAGGGTTTAGATAAAAATAATAAGGATGAGGGGTTTCAGCAGAAATCAAGTTATTTTTAAGTGGAAGGGCTCTAGGGCAGCATTAAAAGGGCTCCCTGAAAATGCCACCATCTTCTTGTGCGTGGGATTCCATAGAATTAATTGTGTATAATTAAAACTATTAAACCAGCAGTCAGGCTAGACAGGGATTCTGACAGGAAAGTTGTTAGAGAGATTATAGCAAAATGCTGTCAAGATCAGACTCCTCCTGATTTACTAGAGGTTTCCACAAGTTAGATGCCTACAGAGAGATCTTCCTCCAGAAGATAATGGCAAGTCTCAAGGACCAGAATTTGAACCAGGTGGTTTCGGCCGCCACAGTTCAGCCAGCACTGGGAGAAATGCTGCAATGGTTGGGAGCCACATCTTGACTGACACAGCATGCTGCAGCTTTGCTGAAGTGTATGGTCCATATCCAACCTAGGAGTCCATGAGAGACACGTATTTCAAATATCCCTCTCCTTAATCCACCCTCAGCATCTGTTATCACACAAATTGGGACAGAGGCAGCGGAGCCAGCATTACAGTAAGCGGCTTGCTGAGCCAGCTGCAGGCATTTGCTGTCTTCTGGCTGTGATCAAGACTGGACAAATTAGGAAAAATGACCATTAGCCTCATTCACCTGAAAAATGCCAACTCACATTTTAAAAACTGGCCTGGCAAAGGGTCAAGAAAAGAAATCTAGTAGCAAATAGACAAGTCTGTGATGATCCACCATCTTGAATGGATCTTCAGTATCCAATACCAAGATTTTCTGCGCTCAGACACATAAATCTCAGGCATTCATACTCTGCCAATATTTTAAGTCATGCCCACAAAGTGTATTTGAATAGGATTCAAGCTGATGAAAAGCAAGTTGCTACTTTTAAAGAGGCTTGGTGACCATGTGAATGCAGCTGATGGCTTCAATCCAGCAGATGACATTCCATTAAATTAAAGACAAATTTGCCACCACAATTCTTAGTGCCAGGAAAGGTGTGAAAGAACACGTGGTCCCTCCAGGATGTGCACAGCCATATTTCTGGTGCCACAGATGGCAGTTTGAATGGCTGCAGGTTTTTTGCCTTGCCTTTTCATAAGGCATACTTGGCCTTTGCTGTTTTCAGGGAGACATTTTAGATACAGTAAGCTTATGAAGAGACACATCCCACTTGAATCATTTTCAAAACACCTCTTCCTTTCAAGTCACCAACTCTCAGAGAAGGAGGGAAAAGAAGAAATGTTGAGCCAAAGCCCATAAGCAGATTTTTTTTTTTTCCTCTGTGTGTGAGATGAGCCTAGGAAAAGCAAAACAATTCATCTACCCAAGAGAGGCTTTGCAGGGAAAGGTTAAGGAATAATAAACAGAGATTTAGATTGCACCAGTTTACATGCATTTATGAGGGAGAAATTCAACACCCAGATAACAAACTCAGTTCAGGTTTTACTTCCTCTCTCCCTTCCTCCCCCCTCCCACCTTAAAGATGACATACCCTTCCATTTGTAAATTACTTTAATTTAAATACTTCCAGGTTAACAAAACACCTTAAGTTTGACATGTCCCAAGTTACAAAACAGAAACAAAACCTCTTGACAAAGGGTAAGAAAAAAAAATATAATCCGAGCCCAAACCTCCTTTCCTAAGCTGGAGTTTATGGTCTGTGAGCTGGCAGCCCTCCAGAGTCTGACACAATGTCTGGAGCACCCAGAGCAGCTGGAATTAATTTTCTTCCTCCAAATCTATGCACTTTCATATTGAAGTCGTGTTTTGGCACTGCCGCCCAAGAGAGAGTTCAGTGCAAAAAGTCTAACCCTGGCCATTGTTTCTTTGCAACCCAACACTCACTGAGCAAAAAACGAGAAAGAAGAAGAGGATAAAAAAAAAATTAGCGAAAGAAAAGCCCTTTCCCTTCCCCCACACATACACAGATGACTGTACCAAACAGGGGGGCTATTCATGGCTGTTCAGAAATGGGTCACAAGGAGAAATGTTTTGCAGATAAAACCAACACTTTTTTTTTCCTTTTTTTTTTCTTCTTCCTTTTTTTTTTTTTTTTTTTTTTTTTTTTTTTTTTTTTTTTTTTTTTTTTTTTTTTTTTTTTTAATAAACATCATGGAGGCCCCTGGAAGGCTCTGGGGATGTTCGAGAGTCGAGGCCCTGCCGATCCCTTCCGCCTCCCGTTCGTGCAGCTCCCACGCTGGCCCTGAGGCGCAGCCCCCTCGGGGGGGACGTCCAGACCCTTCGAGCCGCCTCCTCCAAGTCTGAGCCACTGCAGGGACCCCGAGGGGGTGATGGGGCCGCGCTGGCACCACACTGCTGCTCCTCGCCTGGGCTGGCGGCGAGTCAAGGGGGGAGGAGGGAGGCGTCCAAGGCACTCCCAGGGTGTCCCGTCACAAAATCGCACACTGGAGTTTGTGGGAGCCCGTGGCTCTGTCCCCTCGCCATTTGGTCTTTTTCTTCTTCTTCTGGCTTTTCTCTGGGATCTGTTGCCTGTTTGGGGAGACAGGGAGGAAAATGAGCAGGTGGGACATAAGGGTAGCCTGCAGAACAGCACCTTGGTGCACATATGGATATTTATGTATATATCTCCATATACCCTTCCACCACTGCATGGCTTTTCATGCCACACAGCTGACAACTGCCCGCATCCTTAAGGAAGGAAGAAATATGTCTCCAGTTGCCCTGAGTGAACTGCTGCCTCCTCCTCTGCTCTGGGAAACAGGGATGCTCTAAGCAATGCAACGTCACCCATCACACTGCTGTTCATGCTCAGTAGTTAGCAGAAGAGATATGAGAGAGATGCAGAGAAAGAACATTTTTTGGAAAGATGTTCTTTCAGCTGTCATTGCCCTTGGCCAGATGTACTGCTGAGGACTTGGTTATGGAGAGGGGCTAAAAATAATAAAGAAAAAAATGAGTTTGCTGCCGATGGGGTTCTGGTCTCCCCTGGAAGTTGCGAAGAGCACTTCAGCACAGAGAATGAGCTGACCCCAGAAAGATGTCCTGGCTGTCTGAATCACAGTCATCAGAAACATGCAGCTGAGAGCCCTCCTGCACTACAGCCTGTTCGCAACTGTGCCTGATTGCAGCAGCCACTCAGCCAGCCCAGCAGTGCAAATTCCACAGAACTGTTTGTGGCTCAAACACCTGATAGGCAGCCTGTAGACTCAGATTTTATTGCAAGATAAAACATACAAACACTAGCAGCTTCCGTAAATTCAAACTCGAGAGACTGAATAGTTCAAACCCAGCCTGATTGTGATGTAATATGGCAGGTATTAAATCCAGTGTTCAGACCAAGTTATCCAGACCAGGATGAGACGTAGCTGGGGCACAAATCATTATGGCTTTAGCTGGTGTTTTTCTTACAGCCTCAGCTTCCAAATCCTTGCAACCATCTGAAAAAGTCAGCTTTGGCTAATAAGATTTTTTTTTCCAGTGATTATGAAGGCTGGAGGCATGAGAAACCTAACACTTTAAAGCTCAAAACTAGAAAGACGAAATTAAAAAATTCTTTAAAATGAATGTGGATTAATACTAAATGACCACAAGCTGTCCACACTGTTGTGGATCTGTTTCAGAGATCCAGAAAACCACATCCTGTGCCCACTCAAGATTTCTGCTGTGACAGTCCCTGTGTATGCACTGCATAAAAGAGGCATCAGGAAATTGGAAAGATCTATTGGGTGGACTCAATCACCCCATTCCTTTTTGGATTACTTCCAGACAAAAGTTTCTTGCATGAAGCTAAATAAACCAAGCCAAGTACAAAGAGCACAAACAGTGCCAGCCTTGAATGAGCATCCTCACCCTGAGAACTCAGGGGAACTCTGAGGAGGCCTTTCATTTGCAAAGCACTCCAGGAACGACACAGTTATCAGGGTACTGAAATTTAGATTTTATTTGAAAAAGCTGACTTAAAAACCAGAAAAGCAATACTTGATGGATGATGCTATCCTATGACCGCAGATAGTCTGTGATGTCCAAAGACCAAGAAGCTGCTGTGTGGCCAGTGATCAGCCAGATCACACAACATCTCCCTGCTTCCTGATTTAATCTGAGTGAGTTCCAGCTCTTCTGAACATCTCTGGTGTCCTTGTTGTCACGGGTGTGGGGGTTTTATCTGGTTGGCAATGACTTTCACGGTGACTACTCAGGAAACTGAGGTATACCACCTATTTTTGAGGTTATGGAGTACATTTTCAGGGTTTGAATTTAGTGATGCCTCATTACAATTCTCCTTTCAGCCTGTCTGGAGTTGTGTTAGGGAGAGAAAGCAAACAGAGCCTTCCCATCTTATTTTGGCTCTGTTTTCCTTTCCCGCAGAGCAGAATAGATGGTGGTAAAAGCTTGCTGCAACACAAAAGTAATATCTAGCCAGCTAATGCTGAGCTACAGAACAGTTGGGAAAGAGCTTGGGACATTTCCAACTCAGTTCTCCAAAGACTTTCTGCCCCCTGCTTTAGAGACATGTGGGAAGAGTGGGCAGTACCATCTGCTTTTGATGGAGGCTGACTTGAGGCTGTGCTAGGATATTCACAAGTACAGATATGCTGTGAATAAATGCCTTGTGGTTTAATTGCCGAGCGAGGCACTTTGACTGCACAGCGGGGAGGAGCATGATTTCAGCTCAGCACCCTCCCAAAACATGAAAAATGAAGGTCCAGAAAATCTGCCAGACAACTGGTGCCAAAAAAACAAATCTTCTCAAAGAGAATTGAGGTTATCAGTCGAGAGAGACGCTGAGATGTGCATGCAGCTCTTTTCCTGCAGGGGAGCCAGGATTTTGGAAGGCAGCCCCTCCCTGCTGGCAGCCGGAGCAGGGGTTCGCCCGGAGAGCGGGCGTTTGCCAAAACGAGCAAAGGCAGCTCATGACAAAACTGGGAACAAACCTCTGCAGTCTGAGGAGGAAACCTGTGGCTTAGCCATTAGGTCATGCTGTTTCTTATACAAAGCGGCTTAACTTTTTCCATTTAGTGAGCAGAAAATGTTAGAAGTCACCTACAACATTAGAATTTTGTAAATTTTTTTCCACCCCTTTTTAACCTTTGGCAATATGAGACCCTGAGAGGAGAAAACTATGAAAACCCAAATTACTGGTCCAGAGCTTTCAACACTGGCCTTTTAAAGCTCATCATTAGAGCGGGCTTTGCACTGTTCATTGAATAATATATTTTCATTATGGCCACAGCTAGTTCCTCATGTGCCTGGCACTGATGTGCTGCAAGGGTAACTGCCAGTAACGTACCTATGCAGATACAGGACAAGAAACTTAATAAACTGCAGAAATCTCCCACTGAAAGCAAGCCCAGCCGCTGCTCCCCAAAAGCTCTCTGAGCCAGGACTCCTGCAGATCCAACCCATGAGCAGTAACCAAGTGAAGAGTGTGCAGCTTACCTTATTACTCTCACGAGATCATGGAAGGCCTTGTCAACGTTCAGAGGTGGGTCCTTGGCACTAGTTTCTATATAGGGAATCTGGAGGAGAGGAGAGTATCATGAAAGACATTAGTGACAGCCTACACCTTGGTAGCAAACCAGTTTCAAAATGAAAGGCCTAAAGGCTGAAGAAATTGGGTCCCTAAGAGACCAGGGAAATGCAGGTAAATAGAATGTTGCCATGACACCACTATCAACACCCTTCACGCTTGCAGCAAGGTCAGGGAGCGCTTACAAAAGGTCTGGAATAAGCACCAGGCAAACCAGCTGCTATCGGAGCTCTGGGTTTGGGGAACAATAATCAGAGACTTCATGTCGTCAGATGTTCTCTCCCCCTTAGCTGTGCTCGCAGACATGAAAACAGCCGAAGGTTGTTGAAAGACCAGCACTTGCCAAAAATTCTTGCTTGCCACATTTTATTAGGACTACTGCATGAATATTTCATGACTACAATTCCCCTCCAGTGTAAAATGATCTTCCCCTTCAAAGTCTGACAGCCAGATGGGGCCTCCTAGAGTGCTTGTCCAGCACACTGGCAGATTTATAAAACTGCCTCTGATAAGGTATTTTCGTGCCTGGTCTTTTCCGATGTGTGCATGTACAGATGGATGCAACATGGTCTGCTTCACTTTAGGTGTCCTGGCTCCTACAGAAACCAACTTCCTTGGGGATGGGAAGGAGTGAACCTGCCCTGCCAAACTGCCACCGTGGCTCGCTCAGAAACAACACACAGCTTGCACAGTTTAGGCACAGCAAGCTGCCAAGAGGTCTCAGGCTTGTTTGCCTTTAACCTTTCCATTCTGTTCCTCCTAAGGGAGTTGTCGTCTCCCTCTGGGTATTCAGGGCTGCTGGCATTTAGAGGTGATTAGTGGAGCAGCATGTGATCTACACCCATCTAAGACCAATTTCTCAGGCTAAACTAACAGCATGAATAATGCAGAGCTAAGATAGTGGGCCAGATTTATACAGCCTTAACAACCCTGTAACTTCATTATCTTTAACAAGCTCACTTCCTTCAGACACCTGGGTATACCTCGTCAAGCCTGACTCTGCCTTTTCACTCCAGGAGAGTGAACTTTCTTCCCTCATTCTGAACATTTCATATTCCTCACTGCTTGCAGACACCTTGTACATGCGGCTTTGTGATGGCCTCAGCTTTGCTACAGCCTGGTGCACGGCAGAGCTTCTGGTTCCAGTGATGAACTGGCCCTACTGAAAGGAAACTGCATAGCTGCTACTCTGTAGTAGTCAAAAATGCAATTGAAAATGTTTAATTGTAAGCTTTAATTCAGCTCCAAATGAGCACAGATTTCGATGCTGAATGTCTGTAATAGGACTTACAATAACCCATTAAATAATCCCACAAACTTACGTTATGTTTTGTTGCCATTTCTCTTCCCTGTTCTCTTGTAATTTTCCGTAAATGCATTAGATCAACCTTATTCGCCACCAAAATCATTGGAAAGGACTCTCTGGAAAAAATCAAACCCACCACCCAATTATTATCAGGCTACAATTAAAAATGCTGAGCATGTTTCACTTTCTAATGCTGACATCTAATGTTTTCAGCTACAGACACATCACATATATGTACAGGAACAAAGAAAAAACCCCAGACTGTGCTATACCTATGTTCATATTGTAAAAAATTACTTGACAAGTTGCATGCATGAACACATTCATTGTTATTTCTAGGGACTTCAGGAACTTACTGTCATCGTTTTTGCAATGCCTGATAATAGCTAAGCCTGAAGATCCAACTAGGTGAACAAAGATCTACAGAATTAGCCAGGAAGTCAACTGAGACATAGAAACAGATCTGGGACAGGAGACTGGGACTCTTTTCTAACACTTAAGGCATCTCAGTAACTGCGTATCTTGGCAGCTGCTCATCATTGCAAGACTTTGAGAGATGATGGAAGAACCGGAGTCCTGGTCATCCACTGTGGGGGAAGAAAAGATGGACTCTGGAAGGTGGTGCTTAGAGGGGCATCAAATGGGGGAGAAAATGACCCCAAGGCAAACTGAAAGACTGGCAGTGGTAGCCCAAAGGAGGCTGGAGGGAACCAAGGAGAATTGCTAAGCTTCCAAAGCCATTACCTACCATCTCCTGTTTCCAGAAAAAAATACCAAAACCATCTACCTCTCTAATAATACTCAGTATTTCTCTAACTTTACCAGGCATGTAAGTGACTGCCTGCAGCCACCACCTGAGAAGAGATCCATCTATCCACAGCATGTCCTGTGCAAGGCTCCCCCCCTGCAGAAATCTCCATAGCTTCAGTGATAAACAGAACAAAGGCAGGTCGTGCCATGGAAGGTGCTGGCAGTGCCTCTCTCTCCTCGAGCTTCATGACACAGAGCAATGAACTGCTGCAGGGCCTTTTAGACACTGCTGGGAGGGAGGAGGTCCCTTCTGATCACTGACAGTTACAGCAGTATTGTTTTATATTTAACTTTAAACCCTCTTAAATTATCCTGGTGTTCTCTGCTGCAATAGAGATGATTTTTTGGGGGTAAGAAGCAGTTGGCTACACTCATTTTTGCATAAAACACTTCCCTGAGTAACTCTGGATTTTCAAACAGCATTTCTTGGTCATTTTTCATCAAGATGATAAGGCCTCCATCTTCCTCTGGCATGTTGCCCCATTGCTCTGGCTGGAAAAATACAGTATTGCATTCTGCATTTTAACTGAGTCTTAGAGTTATTCATTCTGATAATGTGACTGTGATTTAATGTTAATACCTGAGCACTGACAAATTTTTACTCTGATCATTCTGGAGCAAAACACTTGCTTGTCTGGACTATTTGATTCCTTTTTGGCTTGCAGCACATTGATTAGAAAGGGATTATGTATGGACAGTATCTCATTTTTGTTGTTTACATCAGGCATGAAACTCTACGGGGACTTTGTTCCCTATTGTGAGCTGTACAATTGCTAGTTGGACAAAGCTGCTATAGTCGGAAATTTTACTATAATGAAAGTTGTGGAAAGAAATGGGAGGCAGGCTTTGAACGGCTCTGCTAACACAGCAGCCTGCAATTCTTTTGGATTTTGTGTTGCCAAAACTGCCTGCTAGCTTGAAAACCAGGGTGTCTCTCTGCTCCCAGGTTTGGCAGGACAGTTTTTTAACTCACGCTGTTCCCACTGCTGCAATTTTCTGACCAAGCTCAGGTTTTGGATGAAGCATTAATAAGCTCCTCACGCTCTGCGTTTCAGCGGCGCTGAGCAGGGAAACACAAACAACCTCACCAGCCTGTTTCACTTCCTGCCTCTCACACACGGCTGCAGCGTTTGCACGGCCTGTGGAGGGTAGAAGTTTCAGTGCAGAGCAGAGCAAAACAATGAATACCACATTTTCACAACGTTAATTTAGATAAAACCGGCATTGGACTGGGGCACGGTACAGGAAATTCTGTCCCATCTTCTTCAGCTTTCAAAACGGATTTACTTTGCCCCAAGCTAAGCCCCAGCGGTGAAGAAAAGACTGCTGTGATCTGAGGGGCTGACATTTTTCTTCATTTAGATGAAATCAAAGGGTGTTTTTTCCTCTACTTTTCACTCTCGTGGGCTATGCTTTGGACGCTTTACTGGAAGAGCTGTCAGCTGTGAACCTCACATGATACGAGTCCACCCTTCCTGTGGGGAAGTTATTCAGAGCTGTGAAAGGAAGCCAGCAATGAGGCCCGAACCCTCTGGTGACTTTTCTTGATGACTTCCATAATTAAAAGCCATTATGAACGGAAAAACTAAGTGTTTCAAAGCTGCAGACATATAAGGGCTTAATTCACACCCCACCCAATGAGGATTGATCCATCACCTCTTGGACTGGGGTGGGAAGAGGGAGTTATCTTTGAGATAAACCGGCAGCTTCCCCTCGCTCTGCCAGGACACATTTACTTGCCACGATTAAACTCAGTGCTACCCTCTCCCATGCACTTGGGAGGGGAGCAGGTGACCTCTCTGGCTTTCTCCCCAGTTACACAGAGATGTTTTATTCTGTGAAAATGGTTGCTGCAGAACACGATGCATTAACTGCACTACAACCCTTGTAAGAAATACAGTTCCTTCCAGCATGAGAAGCATGAGGCTTTTCCCCTTCAAGACACTTGTTCACATCACCAAATTATGCAAGACCTTCTAAGGTTCGTTTGGCACAAGATGAAGCCAGGGAAAAGGAGGATGCTGCCAGGCCACACAAAACAATTAGGGCTGAATGTTTGCTGACTCCCTGCTGGTGTTCCCAAAGTGTCTGCACTGCGCACAGAGCATCCTTCCTCCCTCTTCAGAGCTGAGCTGGTTACCTTCAGAGGTGTCTGTTCTGCCTTTCTCATGTGGCTCTGCCAGACCATTCTGGCAGAACTTTCTCTCTTCCACACCCATTTTCAAACCATTGTAACACCACTGAACCTTTCCACGCTGATAGGACTACATGCTTATTATAGAAGAAGTAAAACACTTCTTATTCCTCACATTTAGGTCCACAACCCTCCACATAAGGATTTCTCTCAGGACACCCGGAAGGCAGAAGCTGGGGTGAGATGTGCAAGCACCCCCAAGCATGGTCTGCAGGACGGGAGCCTGGCACGTCAGGCAGCGATTCTAGGGCACCCACCTGTCCTTGACACGGAGGATCAGCTGGTGGAACCGGTCCACGTGCTCGAAGCTCGCCTTGTCTGTCACTGAGTAGACTATGAGGAAACCATCCCCGGTCCTCATGTACTGCTCCCGCATTGCACTGAACTCCTCCTGGCCCGCAGTGTCCAGAACTAGGACAGAAGAGAAAGGGGTTTTTAGTTACCACGAGGAACTGTAGCTGCTGTCACCACTATGTGTCCTATGGCCTTTCTGCCTCTGCTGGGCTTGGGGTCCTCTCACAGGCTGTAGGATTTGATGAAATCAAGTTGGACAGACGAAGCGGTTTCTGGTTAAAAAAACAAAATCCAGTTCCAGACCCCACTCATTCCCGTGTGCCTAAGTTGGAAGTGGATGCAGGGGAAGATGACTATGTAGATTTAATTTTCCTTTTCCAGTACCGAATGCTGACCACTGAGTTTGGGGAGTTGCTCCTCTGGCAAGATGTGGCTCAAGGTATTTCACAGCCCTCAAACATTTCCCTCTCCCAGCATAGAAAAATCCAACATTGGAAGATTATTAAAAGCAAGTTTAAATGTCAGGGACAACCTACAAACCGCACAGTGAAGCAGAGCTGGAAGACAACCCAGAGTAATAGCTACAAGCACTTTCCTCTTCTCAACACCTGGGTGTTATTTCTACACAATTATGTGCTCTCAGAGCAAGATGGTGCAGCCCTGGGGAACTCCCCTTAAACAGTTAGTCCCAAGTGGTGTGCTGAGGAGCTAAGGAGTTAACTAAAACAGGTGGAAAAGCTCTAAGTGCCTTGGATATCCTATACAGTGATCATGTTTCTGTGAATAAATCTATGCTCAAATCCCCTAAAACACCTCAGTTGTGACAGCAATCCAGATGCTGTTCCCCACCAGATTAACCTCCTCTAATAGAACCATAACTCACTGGTTCTCTACCACTGTCTTGCAGGGGGTCCCATCAGCTACATCATGTAGAGCAAACTACACCAGCCCCCTGGGTAAACACCACATACTGAACACATCTCAGTGTTAATTCCTGTACATGGTCAGGATTTGGCTGGGAGGAGGAGGGTACAAGAGGAGTTTATGCTATGCCAGTACAGACACGATGTGAGCTCAAAGTGCATCAGCTCCTCAGAACTAATAGTCCTAATGCATCTTTGCATCCCAGAGGCAAATGTAGGACCTTCATGGTGACTGGGAACAGCTTCACACTCCAGTAGACTGGACTAGGTGGGAAAACTGTTTTGCCTCTGCTGTACAGGCACAGCATACGCATCTGCTGCACAGAGGTGATGGGGAAAGCCCAGAGCACCAGTGGCAGAGACTGTGGCAGGAGCGTACTGCTGACAGAGCAGCAGGGCTTGATACAGGTTTTTCTAGTTTGAACAGGCACATAGTCCCAGCAAGATGTTCCCTGTAGGGCTAAGCACTCAGGCTTACCCCAGATTTCCAGATGGGGCCACAGTAAAGACCACTTTGCTGAATCAGCACAGGGGCCACAGTCGGACATGCTGTACATCACACCGCACCCCATGAGCCAGCCCACACCCCCTCACTGCATGTCTGGAGGAAAGGCAGCTATGCTGGAAGACCTGGCAACCTAAGGAAGGTGATGGTGAGCCCTTTAAACCCTTCAGCTTCATTTGTTTGCCTGCCTTAACTGGTCTTGAATGTCTCTTTCCATGAGTGTTAATGTAAAAAGAGCTTTAGGCCCTTGCAGAGACCCTGAGATTTAGGCTTGATTGCCAAGCTTGCTGAAAAGTCACCTGTGTCTCTTCATAGCCTTTTATCCTGCTTCTCCCCTCAATCTAGGAAACAAGTGTCTCAGCTCAAAGGTATCCAGGCTATTCTTAAGAACTCTACAAAAGAAAGAAGAAAAACAGAAGAGAAAAGCAACCCAAAGAGACTGCATGTGCTGGTGAATTTCTATGCCCTGGGCAGAATTGCTACCATGGAATAAGGCCAGGACTGTGTAGCTAGGATGGAAGAGGAAATTAATCCTTCCTACTTGCCCAACCTGTATGGAGAGGCTGGGCTGCCCTCATCTGACTCCTGCACCAGCTAAATGCAATGTCAGGGCAGGGCTGAGAGCTAACCACCACCACACACACACACACAGACACACTCCTTTCCCCTCTCCAATACACATACCCAATTTGTGGTGGAGTAGGATAGCTTCTTACCAGGAGCTGGCCCTTCCTGCCCTTCCTCCCCCTGAGACAGGGCAGCTGCCCGAGCACAAGCTGTGGGTAGCAAGGTGGAGATGGATGTGCTGTACCCTGCATGGTAATTTGCTTGGAGACTTCCACTTGCTCTGGGGACATTTGCAAACCTCCCATGAAACACAAGAGGAGTGTCAACCCATCCCCTTGCTGCATCTTGCTGCCCCTCCAAAGCTCTGCATCCCCTTAGAGAGGGGGCAAGCCCTGGTGGGAGCCATGGGGATAGCCAAGGGACTGCACAGGGCTCTGCTCAGTTGCTCCCACATCACCTGGATCTTGGCCACGGCATCACACGAATCACAGGCAGAGCTGCTGTGTCAGCAGCTGCTATTTAAAGGGAATTCACTTGCAGCTTTGGTAGAAAGGTGAGCAAGTCCAGGCAGCATTTAAAATGGCAATTTGAAAGTGCAAGTAAAAGACACAGAGCAGGGAAGGTTAAGGTTAATCTCAGGTTATTCCTGCAAAGTTAAGCATCATGTGGGTGGCCAGAGGAGGCTCTTGTTTTAACTTTAAATGTGCTCCTCATAAAGACAACTCCCCAGCAAACAGAGGAGAATGCAATCTGGATCCTTTGTAAGCAGAACAGGACCACAACAGCACTGAAAAAGGGCCCAATGTAAGTGGCTTTGCTTGTAGTGTAATCTGGTGGCATAAAGGCTTCAAGGAGACTCCTACCTATAGAAACTGGAAAGTAGCAAGGAGAAAACTCGGAAAGGTAGAACTGGGAAGGTGACTGGCTTCCCTAAGAGGTGCAGAGGTTTAGCATGTTAGCCAGCATTCACCTTCATTTAAACTTCCTTATTCTTCGGACAGGATGCCAGAAGACACAGAAATAACCATGACTAGAGAACTGTGAGATGGTACACTTTAAACCAGCAGTTGCCTCACTGGCAATGTAGAAACAAGGCTGGAGCAAAACACAGTAGATTTCTCCTTCCTCATTCTTCTAAGAACTGAAATCAGATTCGTAGGCTGCACAGCACATGGTCAGGGACTTACAACAGAAAACTTGGTAGAGTTCCTACAAACTTGACCAAAGAAGCAGCAAGGAGGAGAATTAATGAAAGCACTTGGGTAAAGATGAAGGAGAGAGAGAAGCCAAGGGCTATGTCTGTTATAGGAACAGACATCCAAACAGGGCAAAGCCATTTACAGTTATCATGAAACCAGGAGGAGACTAAACTAAGAGCAATTAGGTTGTGAGCGCCCAGCAGGGAGGTCTCCTGTGTTGCAGGAAAGAGGTTGCTTAGCAAAGAGATGGCCTTTTCCACTTTCCAGTGGATGTGACCCCCAACTGCTGCGATGAACTCCTTGCTAATTAATTCCTGCCCCCTTAGAGCTCTACACACCATTTTCCTGTGAATCTTGATGGTTATACAAGAGTGCAGCTGCCTAGAGAGCCCTTCTGAGCAGGCACAGGAGCCCAGGAATTCACACAAATTTGTGGTCCAAAATAGAAGCTCTTGGTGCTCCAAGGTATATTACGTGGCAATGTGTCTGCAACCAACAGTGCTCCGCGTGCCCATCCAGAGACAAAGGAATGTAAATCTAAACCAAGGGCAGAGACATACTATGAACTCATGGCATTGCTTTTTCTGGAACCTAGGCTGGATTCAATTCAGATTCAAACACAGCCTTCCCAGCCTTCAGGGAGCTCAGATCTGGTTGTGCAGGTGAGTTCCTCACTCTTTCCATACCTAGGCAAAATTTCCTCCTACGTCTCTATCGTTACATTGCTAGGCAGCTGGGTGTGCAGGTCACCTCAAGAGAGCTTCTCCACTGTCCATGGCATCTAAGGGGACAAAGACGCAGAGACAGGCAGGTTAACCCATTTTCTGTCCTTCAGCCTTTGGGTTTCACTGCCCTGCAGCTTTGTACCTAAGCTCAAGGGAGAATCTGACTTGAATTGGCAAGTCAGACTGAAGAGTCTCAGGCTGAAGAAAGCCACCTCCACAGTCTCTGTCTTCCTTCCATCAAGGTGGGAGAGGGCACCCCCATCAGCCAATGGCTTCAGCTGAGGAGTTGGTATTCTGGGCACTGTGCAGAGCACTGGGATCACTCAGCTCATATTCTGTATTCTGACACCCCCAGTCACCCTGAAGAGGTACGAGGGGCCCTTGTTGTGCGCAAGGCAAGGCAGATTCTTCACTTGGCCATTCTGACGCTTCTGCTCCTTCTCAGATACAGCCATACTGCCTCTGGCATGACAGCTTTCCTCAGAAGAAAACCCATGATGAGGAAACACTCAGGCTTTTATGAGCCCTTCTTCTGTGCCCTAACTAAATACACAGATGTTATAACATGGAAAACCCAAGTACTTGAGTTCTTGCCCTTTCTTTAAGGAAAAAGAAGAGAGGAGCCTTCAGAAGAAAGGCTTCCACATCAATAAACAGAATAAAGATGCAAGTCCTTAAAGGAGCTCTTTCTCTAACAAAGGGCAAGCATTCAAAGCCTTGTGTTTTCCATGTTGCAACATCAAAATTTTCCTGGCAGAAAAATTCCCCACAACCCAAGACAAAAACCCCTCTTTCAAGGTTGCAAAATCCTAGCAATTAAGGGAGGGGAAATACTGTACACACAAATAAAGGAATGAAAGTACAAATTTAATTTGAATTTTAAGGCTCTCAATGATGCTACCGAAAGTTTAAATGAAAATAAAAGAGAGTGAGCCGCAAACCAACCCTTCTGCCTGCAAGCCTGAAGTGACCTTTGATCTCCCTCTGGCCTCCTAGCTGATTTGTTCCCAAGTTTCCTGAGGAGAAAAGCAGACAAGCAGACAGCCTGCCCAGGGATGATTAGCACACAACCCCTCGACAAAAAGGGATGCACAGGATACACAGGTAGGAAAGGTAGAGGGAGAGTCTGGGGGAAGGAACAGAGCTTGGTATGACTGCAAAGGGGTGCAGACCAGAGCTGTGCAGGTCTAGCCCACCACAAGGGCACCAGAGATTGAGAGGGTGTCTTGGGAAGAAGAGATATAAAATAAAAGACTGAAGCTCAAGAGTAGGAAGACAACTTCTAGGCAGTGAGAGTTTCATCTAAATCATATCAGAGGAAGGAAAGGGAAGGAGAGGGAGACCACAGCCTCCTTTCACCCAAGACACAGGCACAGTTCCTTGCTTTGCTGGTACCAACTGGCATAGCACTACTGACAGCCAAGAGTTCATCCCAATTCACCAACATGCCCAAGCCACGTACTTGTGGTCATCTCTCCATCTCCCTCTGTGTGGTTTATGAGCCAAAAGGAATGTTGAACCGTTGGGTATTTTTTGCCATATTAAGGTAATCCATTTTTGGCTTCACTCCCAGATTAACAATTCCAGGCTGGCATTTTGCAGCCACACCAAAAGGAATCCTTTGCTACTTGCTGAGTTAGCCTGCACACAGAAAGGAGTGTACAAAATTAATCACAGCAACTCAACTGGAGCAAAAGCTAAGCAAAGCAGATTAGCCCTGGCCCCCACTTAATTCTGACCCAATGTGTCTGTACACACCTGCATGCTGATGCATTTCACCGAGCACATCACTGTGCTGTCATCAGTGTGACCAGCAGGGAATAAATAACGATGACACATGCTGAGAAAACTGGAGGCTGATCTTAAAGCCTCATTGGAGTGGCAGCAAGCAAAAAATGGGCAAGTTGCCTATGCATCTCTGATTCAGGTTAAATGCACTCTACAGCACTTGTTCCCCAAACACTACATTGATGGTCTTCTAAAGCTGGGATAAGGTCAACAATAAAGTGTTTTCATGTAGTGCGGGACTTGACCACAACACGCACAGGTCCCACAATCACCTGGGAGGCAGGGAACTATCACAGTCTCTTCTTTGGTGAGAAAAATAGGTACAGAGACATTCCTGAGCCAGAAGGCAAACATGTAAAATAGGAGTTTGAATGTAGGTTTGGCTCCAACATCTGAAATAAAAGCCTATTTCATTTCAGCCTACTTTCAGTAAGAGATTTCAGCAAAGGAAAAAAATGCAAGTCAAACATTTCATCACACTGCTAGTTAGTGCTTTTGAATAAATGTGGGTGGAGGTCTTCATGGAGGGAAGCCAAATGCTTTATGCAAGCTGGCTAGCAGAAGGGTTTTTTTACAACATAATGCTGGTGCAGTTACAAAATGCTTGAGATGCTTTGTACAGAACTGCTCAGGCAACAGCCTGGAAAAGGGTGGGCTGTTTTGTTTTTTGTTTTTTTTTAAAGTTCTTGTATGTCAATGTATTTGGCTTTTTTTTTAATAATAACTGTTTTCATTTGAAAACTTCAAAACTTATGGATCCCCTCATGTTATATCCTCACTTGGTAGTCTTATGTTCTAAAACTAGTTCCTATTTTGGTGGGGAGACAGCTGCTTCTCCCCACCAAGCACTGCATGAAACACCAGCTTGTAAAGGGTTTGGTCATAAAGGACAACTGGAAAGTCTAGAAATTACCATGATGCATCTTTACCCTTCCTATCATGTTTGTCCCTAATTTTATACCATAAGTGATTCATGTAACCACAACAAGAGCAGCTGTCCCAGTAGACGGTGACCTCTGAGAATAGCCTAGATCCAAGGCTTATGACAGAGAGCTGTGGCAGAAGACATGTGTGATAGTCAGTCTTTGTTCCCCGTGTCTACCGGTCACAGAGTAAAGGCTCACACGCTTTTTTTTCCAAGCAAGAATACTGCCTTCTTCCCAATTTCTGCTTGTTCAAAATCTCAAGTGCTAGGAAAGAGAAGAAGAAGCTGCAGTTTCACTTCTCTGGCTACGAAGCATCTGTGGTTAAATGAACTCTGGGAGTCAGGGATTCCCAGCATGCCATTCAAGGCCATGGCTGAATTTAGTCCGGCCTGAGTACAGCCACTGAACTCCATTTGAGCAAAAGAAAGGCTTTTTCATTAAAACAAAGGGTGAGTTTCTGCTTGTTGAAAAACAATTTCTTTCTCCACTCCCACCCAGGTCAGATTTGTGGTGGTTTTTTTTTTTTTTTTTTTAAACAAAAATTCCAAGTATTCAGTGAAAGATGCTTTTTCTACTTTTAAATAATTTACAAAGCCCAGGCTGTTTCAGCCAATGCCAATGTGTTCAGCAGCTGGTGCTGTTATATCAGAACACGGGGCATACCAGCAGAGGTAAAGGTTCCTCATTTTAGAGAGCTGGATTCTGGACTAAAAGCAATGGATTTTATTTACAGCAGGATTGGATTTTTCTTTTATAAAGCACTGGCCTTTTAAAAATAAAGGTGCATGATGTGATAGTTAATTGGGAGCAGGTATCTCTGATGCAGAGGACAATGAGGCACATTTCAGCACCAATATCACAAATACTCCCTCATATCAACTATTAACATATTCACATGAACAAGTGTTGGCAAGATTACATTGTTTGGTTGGTTTTTTTTGTGGTTTTTTTTTGGTTGTTTTTTTTTTTTTTTGGGGGGGGGGAGGTTTCTTTTTTAATACTGAGTAAAGGCTGTTCTTGTAAGGACTTTAAAGCCATTTGTACTCATATCTGATAAATCCTTAAAGAGTGCAACTAAGATCTCAAGTTTCCATACCAAGCCAACACTCTTCACAGCAAGTCCCACGTGCATCCACATTCTGCCACTCATGACAATCTCCCAGCTTTCTGTTCCCACACAGCAACAACACACACACACACACATAGACACCCAAGGTCTTGAGCACCTTCTTGACAAGAGGGTGGAGGTAGGAACTTGTACAAGTGAGGCTAAACTTAGTTCAGTTATGTTAGTGGCCACATACATGCACTTTGGTAATTAAGGCACAAAATATTTGCTTGCTTTAATGTATTACCTAATTATTGTATAAAGCAAAACAAAACTTACAACACTTAACAGAAAAATTCCCTTTATAGCTGTGGTTAGTCTGCCTCATGCAGCACAAACAAGCAAGCTGCAGCTTTGGGTAACAGAGGGCTTTCTCCTCATCTGCTAATCAAGAAACTTTGGTTTTGGTTTTTTTCTAAGGATTTGTCAGGTTTCTTTGTTCCAGTTTGTTTGGGTTTTTTTGTGTTTCATTGTTGTTTGTTTTGTTAGAAAAACAAACAAAAAGGCAGTTTTTCTTCCAAGAACTGAATACTCTTGGTTACAACAGATCTCCAGGCTGGTACTCTACCAGTATTTAAATAAAACAGGTAATTAGATATGAAAACATAACACCTGAATGATTGGAGTTAAGAGGTGTAACAATTCTTCACTGTCAGTGGACAACAGTTTTGATTAAATGATCTTTCTGGTTATAACCCTCACTCAGTTACCCACTCACTGTTATTTCCCAAGGGATGAGCTCAACCACAATGAAGTATCATTAGCAGTAGCCACCTGGCAGTGCTATAATTCACTCTTTGTAGAAGCCTGCTCTAAATATCAATGATGATCTGTATGTATTTACAGTCCTGCAAGAAGCATTTCTGTGCAGAACTGGAAACAACGCAACTGGAAGCAGCAGCTTTGCTGGAGACCAGCTGCAGATCATGCTCCACAGCTCACAGGCCAGCCTGTGCTCAAATTCCTGCCAGCCCACAGCAGAGCAGGAGAGACACAAGGACACAACATGCTGTGGGGGGTCTATTTGCACTTACGTTCAGCTAGAAGGGAAAGGGGAATCACACGAGTAGCTTGCTTACCATCAAGAATTGCCCACTGCCCGTCTATTTCTGTGTGCTTCAGGTAGGAGTCTTCAATAGTTGGGTCATAGTCTGGCACGAAAATCTTCTGGAAAAACTGAATGGTGAGAGCACTCTTCCCCACACCACCATCTCCAACAACCACCAGCTTGTACGTGGGGAGGTTTTCGCTGGGAACGGCACTTGTAGCCATGCTTCCAGTGTGCTAAACCTGCTGGAGAAAGAGATCATCGATCACTTGTCAGCAACGAAAACAGAGCAATGTGCATAAGGCAGCTTTTACCTGCTCCCTAAGAAGTGGGAATGAAGGCAGCCTTTACATCCAAAACTGTTTTAGACAGGAGCTGCTGCACTGACGCTTCCCAACAGCTCTAGCCCAACTCAAACCCAGCACTTAGAAGTAAAGACAGCTCCACTGCTGTGGCTTGTTTACTCCTGACTTGTCTACATGGATTGCTAATGGCCACCAAATGCACATGAAAAACTTGTGGTTGAAAACTTATTGAACACCTTTCCTGTAGGGGCTGGATCCACATGACCATGACAAAAATCACCCTGGCTGAGTGCAGCTGTCAAGCTCCAGACAGCTTCCCACTGCCAGTGACCAAATAGCACAGACAGAGCTGTGCTATTTCTCACTGTTTAACCCAAGGTACAGGAAACATTAGAAGGTGTATTACATCCTGGGGCCAGATCTGCAGGCAGAACTGGTGGTGATGGATGAAACCAGAGTTAAAGGTTGACTCCACCAGCAGACAAAAATGCACTTAGCTGCTTTCTTCCCCCTCATTTTCAAGTTTGAGAAATAAAAATGAGAAGGCAGAAGGCCAGGAAAGATAGTTTTTTTTTTTTTTTTTTAAGAAAACCCTCCACCCTGCCATGGCAGGAAAGCTGGTGTCTGTGGCTGTGAATAAGGCAGGAGAGCAGCCTCCCTGTACCATGGTTGCACTGCTCCTCTCACCTCAGAACTAAGTCTTAAAAGAAAGAAGAAAAAAATTCGCTGGCTGCAACTGGGCAATGGCATACGTGTGAGGAGAGAAGAGGCAGCCATTGCTGAACAGCCCCTTTCAACACTTAGCAGCAGTGACTGCTCACTGAAGTAAAAGCCAGGTGGGAGGTTCTGTACACATGCCGTGGAGGGCAGCGCTCTCCATCCACCCGTGGGAAGCAGTAATCACTCAGATCACAAAGGAAATGGGTGGCCATTTCCCAGATCTGAATGACCACTGCATTTTCTCGGAGGTCTTTCACACAATTAAAAAGAAAATAAAAATAATTTAAAAATCCTTTGTAATGATAAGGCTCAAGAGAAGGCAGCTGATTTCCTTAGTAGTACTGGTTTTCCCAAAAAAAGCTGTTCAGTGCAGGAGCAGCTGTGGTGACAATTTCTGCAGGCACCTGCTCCCATCCATTCTGATTTTGCTGATACCCTTTGGGCTGCAGGTGCTGGCTGGGGTCAGCACTGAGAGGAGACGAGGACAGCTCAGAGGGAACCTCCACCCCACAAGCTTTTGGAGGCCTTCCCAATAACTCTAGGGTTTTCTTTTTCGTTAGGAAGACAATTTTAACATTTCCATTCTCAGAAACCACCAAGCAAGGCTAGTGTGCTTGGTGCCAAAGCTGTGCCAGGTGTTGTACAGAAGCTGAGACTGCTACACACACAGTGCAAGTTGAATGCTGGCTAATGTGATTTTTTTTTTTTTTTTAGCCTACAGTATAAACTGGACCCCCACTATTCCCAAAACTCTTTCATTTTCTATCTTTCCCAAACAAAACGCTTTGACTCTTTATTTCTGAAGAAGGCCCCAATGCCAACTTGGACTACTTTTCAAACAGACAAGAACATAATACCCTAACCCAAGTTTAGTTTCTGGTTTCTCTAGTCCCTTTCTCCAAAATCATTATTTCAGTTTAACCCAAAAGATTGAATCATGAAAGGCACTTTTGAGCTGGCAAGCTTGGGAGTCCTATGTTCTTTCTGTACACTGGAAACCCCATAGCTTGAGAGAGGGCTTAGTTTCTCCTCTAAAAAGAAAAGCCCATAAAGAGGAAACAGAGGATGAGATTGCTGAGTCTGGGAACTGCAAAGGCCTCTTGTCCAAGCTGAGCCAAGCCAACATTTTCAGAGCAAGAAGAAGCATGATCAAGTCTGCTTGTTTCTAAACTACCTTTGGAGCAACAGTTGCTGGATGGGAAGAAGGAGGCCAAGCACCAGCTGAGGTTTCAAACTGTCTTACTGCAGTTCCTCACCACAATCCCAAAGTTTCTTACTCCTATCTTTGAGCAAGAAACTTCCTTATATTTACAAGGCCACACATCAATATACAGCAGGCTTGGCTGCAGAAAAACCTATGAATTTCAATTAAATGTTTTATTTTTGTTGGAGGACCAACTTTTATTTCTGCATAATCCTGCTTGGGTCAGATGATTCTCACAGGCTCTTTGGGACACAGACCCTGGCTAAAACTCTGTCCCCCCCCCCCCCACCTTCCAACACATTTGATGACAATTTTTTGCTTTGCCCATGGCCAAGGTTTCACTGCATCCTTCTCTGCCCAGCTCTGCCCAGGCAGTATGAAAGACTGATTGTTACTGACATGGTGGGGGCAGTCTGGGGATGTGAAAAACATACCCCATTTGTGCACAGTTTTTGACCTCATCCCAAAACCACAAGCTGTTGCTCGGCAGACAAGCATTACATTTTTATTGACATTTTGTACCAGCCCCTTTAACTCACTCCTAAGAAGCCTTAAGCTTATCTTGCATGAAATGCTCCCCAAAGTCCTAGGATAATGTTTAGCCCATTGCACAAACTGTGTTTCTGCCCCACACACTTATAAGCTGAATCGGGGCATTTGCTTCCCATCGTTTCCAGAAGTTGGGTCATACTCTGTGTCTAAGCTACCAGACTGAGTATTATGCAGCCAGGAAAGGACAGCAAGAACTGAACTGGAAAAAAAAAAAAAAAAAAAAAAAAAAAAAAAAAAAAAAAAAAAAAA